AAAAAAAATTTAGGTTCCAGTTTTGTAGCTCATTTAATTCTAGTAATAAAGTGGAAGTTTCAGTAGGGTAAGAATTCGGGTTGATTTTTGATATTTTTTGCCGAATTTCCCTCAGTTGATGTATCACCTTTTGACGTTGGGAAATTAAACTATATATGTCGTGGCACAAAGTCTCAATGCTTTTCGAAAATTTCTTACAAGCGTAGCTTTGGCAAAGCTGAAGTTAGTGGCATGTGCTCTTTATATAAAATAAATCGGTTTCTGCAACCAATAATGTTTTCAGCACGCCCAAGTCTCCAGCCAAAACATTGGCCCCATCAGTGGCCAAACCAATTAGGTTTCTTATTTTTAACCGATCGTTTTGTTTTGTTCTAAAAATTACTTGTTAATGGATTGGCAAATGTTTCAACTATCCGACCAAAATCTTACTTTGCCTACCAACCTACCAAATGAAAAAGAGGGGACTAAATTTGGACGGTAAATCCCAATAGTGGCAACACTGAATGGATCGTTTAAATGTAATTTTTTTCCCATTTAGTGAGTTCATTTCTAAAATTTCTCAATCCTCGTGCTAGTAGTATAGAATTAATGATACTCAGCCCGATAACCAAAGAAAACACGACTATTGTCGCTAGTGTAAACGAAAGGAGATTTTGGGGCGTTCATGTAACAGAGTGCTTAAATTTTAAATAATATCTGCTTGATAAAGTTATCGGTTTAGATGAATACCACTACCATTTCGGTTTCACTTTTTTCTGAACCCCTATACATTAGCGTGGGCCGAAAATCCGCTTTTTTAGAATTTTGATTGGTAATAGCAAAAATATGATTCATATGCTTAAAAAAAAATCTGTGTGAAATTTGGAATTTTTTGGTCAATATCCTAGGCTCGCCCAAGTCCATCAAAGTTCAATATGCTCAAAAAATAAAAATTAGTAAATAAATTAATTAATACTTTTTATTACTAAAATTGCAATAATCTTCGAAAGTATTAGTCCTACATAATTTGGTATATGGACCTTTTTTGTAAAGAATCAAAGTTAGCTAAAAAAAAAATTTTTTTTAGTACTTGAACTTTGGAGGACATGGGCGAGCCTAGGATATTGACCAAAAATTTTCACATTTCACACAGATTTATTTTAGAGCATAATGAACCATATTTTTGCTATTACCAATCAAAATTCTAAAAAAGCGGATTTTCGGCCCAGGCTACTATACATACATATATTATATCAGGGGTGGGCAAGCTCGAGGCCGAAAGGAGCCACATGTATATTCAAAATGCTACACAGAGCCACAACAAAAACAAAAGTTTTAATTTTAAATAAAATTATTATTTGAAATGAAAAACATTAATTTTATTATTATTCTAATGTACGTAAGATAGATATTAAAGAAAATTCAAAGGATCCCTTTGGCCAAATTTTCAAAATTTTGTTTAACGTCAGTTATAGCCGTTATGTTCGTAACAGTACTGTTAAATGTGGTTAGTAAATTGTGAACGGTATTTTAACTTTAAGAATTTCATTGTAGAGTACAAATACTCACGTAACTATGTGTATGTTGTACCACAAATTGAAAATATACGGCACGCAGCTGCTTTCAATAGCGGATATTTTAAATCTGGTACTTGTTGCGGAATTCAAGCAGTGGCAAAGCTTTATGTTGCATTTCCAGTGCCTTATCTTCTTTTAATTCCAAAAATTTCAACTCTTGTTCATTGTTAATTCATCCTCAATCATGTTACATAAAAAAAGGTTTATGAAGTAAGCAATCGTACATTTATTTAAATAATTACAAATCGGCAAATATTTTCTCAAAATCTGCTTTTAAATTATGTAATCATTCGCAATATTTTTTTATAGCCATGGAAAATTATGAAATATTATTTTTTTGAGATCGTGTATTAAAAAACATAGTTTTGCTTCAAAACTTCAAATAATTTGCGACAAATCAAAAACATTTTTATTCTCTCCTTCTAGATACAAATTCAAGTTTTGCAAATGTTCCATCATATCGGTAAAGAACATTAATAGCCCAGTTATACATACTTAGCTTTGCATGAGAGTTGTCACATAAGAATCTGTTAAATGGGCTTTGCGTGTAAGATATTACCCAACGCATAGCACTTAACATGTAGAATTCTATTGGGTTTTGATTTTTACGTAAAAATGGTATAGCAGTGCAAGTATGCATAACTGGGCTATAAGTCGCAAAGCCAATTTTCATTCTCCAATTGCGGGTAAAGTTCCGGTCTCAATTTGCGTATGTGTATGTAAAGAGGAATAATATAAAGTAAAATCAGCCAAAATGTTCTAAGAAAAGAGAAATTAAAAAGAGCCGCATTTGGCTCAATGAGCCGCGTTTGCCCACCGTTGTAATTATTATCTGAACATACACTAGAATACTTTTCACCATTAAGGGCCATTTTCACCATCTCTGGTTAACACTAATACCCAGTTAAACATCGTTACCGACGCTACCGACATAATGTTATATGCATGGAGTCAGTAACGTCGGCAACGATGTTTAACTGGGGTTTATTGTTAACCAGAGATGGTGAAAACGCCTGTAAGGGCCGGTTGTTCAATGTCTGATTAGCACAAATCGGAGGTAGAAGCTCCGTTTAAATACAACGACTGCTTTATCGATCACATGTTATATGCATGATGCCGAAAACGTCGATAATGATGTTTAACCGGGAAGCAGTGATAACCAGACATTGAACAACCGGCCCTAAATGTCTGACCGCATGAAAGCAAACTGCATTGTGTGTGCACGAGTTTCATCAATGTTTTCGCTTTTCTTTTTTTCATCATAGCCGTTTACAAGAGACCACTATCACAATGGTGACGAATGGCAATCAGAATGGCGGACCGCTCACCGACATGTCCGACGTTGCTTTGGCCAGCGAATTTTGCGATCATTCATATCACTACCAACAACAACATCAGGCGCAACCACCGCGTCAGCAACAATATCGTCAGCTGGCACTCATGTGATGAAGCCAAATAAAGGGGCGCTGCCATCAGGCCAAGGCAGATACAATTGAAACAACACCCGAAGCAACAACAACAACAACGGTTTGCTGCCCGAATTTAAATGATGCAGTTGCTACAACTACAACGGCTTCATTGCTGGCAAGTTTAGGAACACCCGCAGGATGTATCGACTTGCGCAACTTAACTGTTTTGAATGGACAACGCCCTGCAAGTACCGCCGATGAGCCAGCGTTACAAGAGCAACAACAAAATCAGCAGCAAAAAAACATAAAGCAGCAGCGACGCATACATTTCCACCTCGTTGGGTGCACGCAAATTTAAAAGCCCGGCCACAAATTAGATGTTTCCGTTAAAGCGTGCTGAGGAATTTAAGTACAGGAAAATACAGGACAAAGGATTTGAACCTACATTTAATGTAAGTTGTATATGTATATAAAACTAAATGTAAACGTGAGTTTACTCGTACTTTCTTTGAAAACAACGATTATATACAATTTTAACAAAATTATATTCTTAAAGAATTTAAACATAATAAATTAAGCGAAACATATCGCATTATATGTACATATACGTATGTATAGGTAACAAAGTATTTATATCAGGGTTGTACACTTACACAAATTTTCACATTTTTTATACTTACATTGTAAATAATTGTAAAATATTAGGTGTATTCTCCAAATCTTGCAAAGTCATTGCACGTAGCACGGATTGCATAACTTGCAAACACACAACAAAAAAATACATGGGAAACAACATTTCCTATCTCTGCAAAATATACAACGTCGAAACCCATGTATATATTTTGCCAAATTGCATAGCAAGATAAATGCGACCCTGTGCTAATTATTTTGTTGTTGGAATTACTACATATTTCTCTCATTCCTCTCATCTCGCTCACTTCACTTTTTTTTGCTGTCTCTTGTTATTGTATTTGATACATAATTTCGCTGCTTGATACCCATGCATGCTACCACTTTGCAATGGGGTGCCCTCGTACTCTTTGAAATTTGGAATAGTGGGTGCATTCAGATATGCATCAAGCCAAAGCATCAGTCTCTTTTACTTCTAAACTATAATTGATGGAAATGCCTTATTTACGCAAATAAGTTCCAATTAGGCATTTAATCGTGGTTGCGCATTTCCATCAATTATAGTTTAGAAATAAATGCGTCTGATGCTTTGGCTTGATGCATTTCTGAACACACCCAGTATTTTTGCATTTCGTGCAAACCGTGCATTGGGCAAGACTTCGAGAATGCCCCTATTGTAAACAATTGTAAATTGGAAATTATTTACAATAATTTACAATTAAAGAATTATTGTAAAAAATGTAAATATTTTACAGGCACAACCCTGGCTGAAACACTTTGGTGTTCGCACGGAGACAATATTTACCAATATTTACATTGTTTACAATTATTTACAACAATTTACAATTACTTATAACTGCTTACAATTCTTTACAAATGTACATTATTTCCACCAAAAGTATCGCCCTGTAAATATTTACGTTATTTACAAATAAAGAATTGTTGTAAATATGTAAATATTTTACAGGCACAACCCTGATTTATATATGCAAGTTTGCATTATATTTGTACATGTGTAGTTTCTACGCTTTTTGCTGGAAACTTCCGAAGTTCAGGGTCTATTTTAGTAAATGAATACTTAAACGTTTAATTAATATTTGTACAGCATCTAAATATTGTATTTTAATAATATGGTTTGTAATAAGGTTTCTCTTTATATTAATTATATATGTATGTACATATGTTTATCTAGATACATATGTATGCCTATGTGTACATTTTTTATGCATTAGATGTATGAATATTAAATTCCAGTCTCAAGTATTGCTAGCTAGTCTGTTCCTTTACCCGCCAGATTTACAGGAATTACTCAGAAATAGTCAGATGGAGCCCGGAAGATATTACTAAAAACACTGTAATTGTGTGTACGGGAAGGAATTCTGACTAAATCCTGTAAATCTGACTAGGAAAGGAGTAGACTAAATAACTAATTTATGTAACTGCATACTATTATAAACTTTCAAGTGCATTGAACTAAATGGAATTTATAATTATTTCACTTTCATGTTATCACATATAGCAAACATGTGAAAATAATAACAATATTTAAAAACTATTATTATGTGCATACAATCATATGAGCAAACGAAATGTGAGGGATAAATTCGCAGCCTAATATTACATTTACGTTGGACCTAATGTCGTGATTTGAAATCAGTCATTTGAATGTGTTTACATTGCTTGATTTGCATTTTCTTTGACTTCTCATGAATTGAAAAGGGAAAACAAACCCAAAATGAATGTAAATAAATACTGAATGGCTCATATATTTTAACATGTTTTGGACACAAATTATGCAATTATTCTTTGATTAAAGTAAAATGTGTTATTTTATGTATAAATAAACAATTTGTATACCCAAATTTCAAATATTTATTGTTTTCGTCGTGTTTGTTTTGATTTTGAAAAATGCCAAATGTCAAAGACAAAGGCTTTTGAAGAGCTTTTATTTTTGTGTGAGTTCAATAAAATATCCCGTCCAAGGCATATCAAAAAGGCATAAGAGCAAAAACAACATTTGCGTGTATTTTGTTGTTGCTTCTGGTATAGGACTGCCAGATATCTTTGTTGCCAAACCGGGACACTTTAGGGAGGGCCTCTCGCTCCCTTCTCTTTCATTTCGACGTGCGAAAGGATGTAGGGAAATTTTATTTTGACAGACAAAAACAAAAACATAAAAACATGAGATCATGAGATCATTACAACGTACGCCAACAAAACAAAACAACTTATCACAACTAAAGCACAGAGAATGTTTTACAATGCATGAACCTTTTTTAATCTTTATAAAAATACAGTTTAAACTAAATATATGAAAAAACATAAAAATAAAATTGTTAAACTTTGTGCTAAACTCGGGAAAATTCAATAAATTTGCATACAAATTTGCAACATTCTAATCAGACTTTTTATAAAAATATTTAAAATGAAGTTTTGCAGCCCATTAAATTTTAGTTGATTTTTGGTATTGTTTTTACTGAGAGTTTCTTCCATACAAACTATGTTTGATAATTCTTTTTATATGGAAGACACTGTCAGCAAAAAAAAATAAATGCTAAAAATCAACGAAATTTGCTGGCAACTTCAGACTTGCACTTTATTAATTGGCTCAAAAGCTACATTTTAAAAATTTTTCTAAAAGATCTGATTAGGAATTGTGATCTGATTAAAGAGCCAATAATTTTGTACGGCACTGTACTTATAAGTTCTCTAGGTTTCATGGCTGCCGAGATAGGTCGAACCTCCACTCAGCCATCGAAACTATCTCGAAATGTGACTATTTCACAAATTAAACCGGTGCACTGAGAGAAAGAAGTTTAGAAATAAAAAAGCGTGCTAAATTAAAAGAACACGCATATGAAAGAGCACCAACCCAACTCGTAATACATTTAAGTATACAAATTTTAGTATTTAGTATAGAAATAATTAATTCAAATACGCCCATATTAAAATGAAGCGAATTGCAATTACCGATTGATTTTTCATAATTAAGTTAAAAAAAATATTTAAATTCCATGCTGGTTGTAATGGGAATTAAACCCTGACCCTCTGGAAATTAGCAAGTTGTGGCAAGCAACGTCGCGCACTGAGCTACAGCCAGACATGTAAATGTGCATTTAAATGTTGAAATGGTCGTAAAAAAAAAATTGTTCCAACTTTATTTCTTAGTAAATTTGTTTGCTTCTCGAAGCATTAATCCATCCTTAATGCGCAAAGAATGTTTTTACTTCTCGATAACCATGAAAAAATTTTATATATGTAGTTTCCAATGCTATCGATACGCTTTTTAGATAACAGATCTCTTTCGTCAAAGGCAGTTTTCCCATGGAAGTCGAATTACTCTCCAGTAATTATGGTGAGCATCTGGACCGACTGCATTGAAAATTTTTATCACTGAATTTGTATTTTTTTTTTAAGTGGTAAAAACGCATTTACGCGCCATATAATAGGCTGTAGTTTAGCCATTTATTGCTTCAACAAAGGTACCAAATCTATGTTTATTATTTATTTGAAACATTTTCTTATGACAGAGAGATTGAAATGCACATACATTTTTCGGTAAATCATGCTATCCCTAGCTGGGTTGTAAATGAATACAATCATATGCGATTTAAATCAGTTGAAGTCACAATAAATGACTTTTATTTTCAGTCGTTGACTAAAGTTTTGACTAAAGACAAAAAAAAATAAGTCTGAAGTTTTGGTGAAGTCACTTGATGACTTAATTTTTCAATGCAACAACAAAAATATTTGTAAGAATTTGTATACAAACGATATGTTATCATTAATAACAGCCTATTTATTTCAAAAGCATCTAAATTATTTAGCAAATTACAAACAAAAGGAACTTATTTTTAGCAGCGACAACTGTTCGAAGCTCTCATCTGATAGACGTCCTCGACGTGGTGTGTTAAGTATTGAGGCAAACAAAAAGAGTCTTTCCACGGCGGCTGAGGTAGGCAGGGGTGCGTTGTATTTAATGTATGCCCTTTTAGCAGTAGGGTAGCGGTTTAGCATAGCACTTTGTCCTAATTGTCGCCAACGTAGGTAGAAAGAAACCGTACACCATACCTTTATCTTTTTGTATAAACCTTATAGTATCGGCGATTGGTTGCAGCAATTGCAAATATTCCTCCATGTACCTAATACCGCTCTCGTGGAATGTCGTCAATTCCAGTTTTTCACCCAAAGTACTCAGTTTCTCTTTGCGTGAAATCAAAGCGAATTCCACCTTATTACAGCGGGATATTGCAATTGTGAGCCTAACGCAGAAACAATTTGCTCTGAAGATTTCGGTATGTTTAATGTGTTCCACAGATTAGAGCATTTCTTCATTAGCTTTTAAAAATTGCCCTTAACTTTTAATAATCCCACTTGTCTTGGAAAATTATTAAATTTTTTGTCACAATAACAATACAAATTATAATAACCTTCTAATGGTTTTTCATATGTAAGTATGTTCTTATGTTTAAAATTCTTAGTATGTATATCTGTCGAGTCAGTAAATTTACGGTGTGGGTCGCACATCTAATATACCTTGCCAATGACTTTTCAGAAAAATTACTGGAAAACTTTTCCAGTTCCATTTCTTCAACAGCTTCAGTATCATCTGTGCAATTATCGTCTAGGAAGGTTAGAGCTGTATTAAAAAACTCTTTAAACGCTTTAACAAAATTTTACTCATTATCGGTAACAGTTGGAACAACTTTACGAAGTAGTTTCTTACTCGGTACATTTAACTAATGTCATGCATAATGCAAATCGCTTATTACAGCAAATGTAATTAAAAGATTGTTTTTTTTTTTCAAGAAAAGTAGAAGAGTAGAAATTAAAATTTAAAAATATGTTGTATTACTTATTCATGTAATACAGGTAAAATGCGGGTTTCTGACTACAGCCCAATGACTTCAATTGAATTCAAATTATTGCAATCAAGTGACTAACAAAAAAAAGACTTCAAAGATTAGTAATTAGTCGCCAAAATTATTTTAAAGAGTGTCTTCATTTTTTTAGTCTTAGTCATGGAATACAAAAATTATTTGCTAAAAAACC